GTAACTATAAAATCTAATGCTTCTTCCACGGGTATTCTAACATTGTTTGTTGCATCATCATACACATTCTTAATTGGGTCTACATATTTTTTCCAAGATCTACCATACTATCATATGCTTTTTCTAGATCAACGAATATCATACGAAATTCTCTTTCTTTCTCTAAACTCTTCTATCAATCATCCCAAAAGAAAGATATATAGTATAAAATTTTGGAAGATATGGAGACTAGAAATGCCTCTCTTATAAATACATAGCCAACCATGATTTTGTTTAACCACCAAAATTCTACATCTAATGTCCAAAAAAAATTAGATAATTGGTCCCAAACAACCTATATAATTAAAGAACCAATTACTATCCCCTCATTAGCAAATGAGGGAAAATAATGGAAATTTGTGAGAAGTTTGAAGATGAGAATCATATATTCATACAATGTCAACTGGTGAGACAAATTTGGACGGCAAGCATAGACCAAATTCCAAGACCCAATCAAGGAAAATCCATCGATCAAAGACAAAAATCAATAAGAAGCTTAAAGCAATAATCCACCCATATATAGCAACAAGTACAAAAAAAAGATTTTGCCATAATAAAATATTCAATAACAAGTGTTAAATGGTTAAACCTTGCCCAAATCAAGAAAATGGCTGCACTAAGCCTAGCTAAATGAATATTTGAAAACTTATCTATAATTGGTAGAGAAAGAAAACTCAAACCAAATCTTTGGTTAAATGGAGACCCTCCACCAAAGCAAAAAAAAAAAAAAAATCAAGATAAATTTTGATGCAACTAGAAACATGAGGGGAATGCACAATTGGATGTATGGTTTGAGGACAACACAATAACATCAATAATTAGATATCGAAATAGATAGGTTACCATACAATGACCGGACATGTACGCTCGAGAGAAACCCACCTCGAGGACAAAGATTACATAAGAAGACGAATATGCATTCAAACTCTAAGGAGTTTAAAGGAGATAATTCAAGTTCCATGGAAATGTAGAAAGCTTCTTCAAGAGTGTGATCGATGTTCTACTACATTCATGATATTGGGGCCATGACAGCTTACAAATGACAGATGACACAAGGCTTAGTCGTATTCTTATCTTCAGGAGATTCTTTACGGAATAGAAAGTTGTTTCATGTTTTATAATGGATAAAATACAAAAACCTCCCCTAAGTTTTGATGTTGTTCGATACAAAGTGTTTCTTGAATCGAGATTGTAATCAGATAGTTCTGCCAACTGGGTACAGCCGAGGTGGAAGGATGAACCGCGCTCCAAGATCTGAAACCAAGAAAGTGGTCAGAGGCCGAGGAGTTATTCCCCGAGTAGGTACTCTGATGCTCAAGTTAGTGAAGAGAATGGGTGATTGGGCCGAGCAGTAATTGAAAAAACAGTGTTGGTCCGAGTAAAATAACAGTATGAATGCTAGAAGTACAAAAGTCCCTTACCTCGAGCGGGGATTACCTACTTATAGTCGAAGATCCTTGTCCAATTTGGATGAGGCTTCTAGGTTTGTTGGGATGAGGTTCTCCGCCAAAGTTTTCAGGATAAGACCTAATCCTCGGTGGAGCTGTCCTCCTTATCCCTACAACGCTCTCCTGTCTTGGTCTTGCTTATCTGATGACGTGGTGCCGACATGATAAGGTGGCAATAGAGGTGACACGTGGCACCTGGGGCTAGCTCAACCATAACCAAACAAGTTTTTTGACAAACATTTGAGGGTAATTAGAACCGTGGGCATTTATTTATTCAATAAAGGTTGTCATATAGGCACCACTTCAGCATTTAGCCCATCATACTGATCGAAACTTATAGAGACTTGCAAAAGCAGGTCTTAATTTATGTACACAACTATAATTGGGGGAACCTTCATTTTAGTGCTTCCCCCAATGGGTAGGTGTTTATTGACTACTTTGCTGATGTGGTGCCTAATGGCACCTAATTGTCAATAAACGGTTTCATTATTGCTTTTTTCAGTTTTTCAAACAAATCAAGTAAAAACATTTAGTAAATAAATGGAAACTATACTAAACACATACAAAATCTTCCCCTATACTTTCACTTTAACAAAATCCTCCCCTGTAGTTTTAAAAAATCATGCATTTATGGATTTACCTCCCTTCCCTCATCGTCCCACATGGAAAGTTATAATCTAATGTGTTTATTTTTTAAAATACCTATTTTTCACTTATATCTATTAATTAAGATACAGATTTGTAAAAAAAATACTTCCAAAATAGTATTCATCTTCTTCTCCAAAAATTAATATCCAGAGTCATCAAAGACAACCTAATCGTTCACCCTTCCATTTAACATGGGGATTGGTGCTTTCAAGAATATTTTGGTCATTTGATTCAATAAGTCTCTCCTAAAGGTAGAATAGGTATTAAAAAAAAATGCATTAAGTCATCACTTTCAAAATGGGACAACGATAAAAAGGAGGTAAATGCATGATTTTTCAAAACTACAAGGAAGATTTTGTTAAAGTGAAAAAACAGGAAAGGATGTTATGATTGTCAAAAAACTTAGGGGAGGTTTTCATATTTTACTCTTTTATAAAATTGGAAATGCTCACTATCAATCAACTTCTAGAAACGAAAACGGTGGATACTCCAACGGCATCGCTACGTGACTACATCTTAATAACTGTTGGGAAATGGGGTCACTGTAACTTTGGAGGAGAAGCTCTGAGGCGCGTATAAAGACACTGTCTTTAGAATGTTATTTGCCCCCACTCAGTTTCATTGAGTTTACTGTTGGGCTACAGGCAAATCCGGACTGTGAGAGAGAGAGAGAAAGAGAAAGTGGATTTCAAAAATGTGTGTTTTTGAAGTTTTATTCATGCTCCTTAAATAGTTTATGAAGAGGTATGAAGAAAAAGTAAGTATTGGTTTAGAGAAGACACCTTGAAATCACACTCGTTGCGTGATATCAAACCTCCATACTCTCCTCTACTATTTCTAAAGAGTGTAAATCAATTCCTATTAAAATACTGAAAACAAAGCTTATAATTTTTCAATGTGGGACAAGTTCAAAATTGAGTTTTATAAGAGAAAAGCTAATTTTCCAAACAAGTGTGCAGGTGCAATTTTTCATATAATTGACCAATCAAATCCATTGGATTTAATCTCTTATGAGATTAAAATCCAACAATAACAATATATCAAAGGTTAAAAGACTAAAACCTCTTCAATTTTACATGACTAAATGATGGATCCCCAATTCAATGTCTCTACTACGTTTATGATTCCAATTTATTGGTCAGTTGTTTTTCTGATATCATATCATTTTCATATCATAGTTGAACCCTTTTTTAACATAGATTAATACTTCTTCTGTCGGATGACATTATCCTGGCAAATACTTCCCCTTTGTCGGCAATCTGTGAAGCACCGTTTACATATGACATCATGGGTGGGTGAAAGTTTTTTTAAAAATCTAAATTATCCCCTTCAGGTTATATTGGTTTTTCTCTCTTGAATTACTTCTTTCTGATATACCTATTTCTATATTTTGTTTCTTGTTTGTCTTCTCTGCTAAAGATATAATATGAGAGAAATTTTCATTTGCATTTTTTTGTAGTTACCTAGCGTCCCTATTTGAAAACTTGATCGAGGGTTTTGGGAGTTTCCATGGAGAACACGGTAATTAAAGTGGAGTTGCCTGAAGAACCAAAGCTATTGTTTGGAGTTTTGATCATTTATTCTTATTGCCGGTCGAAATAGGCTAAGAGCAATACAGTCAATTTGCTCCTAAGCCGAGGTGCTGAGGTGCAGTGGAGGAGTCCGAGGCCTGGAGGAGACGAGGACTATTAGGTCGGTTCTGCATGGAGTGAAAGGAGGAAAACATCAGAGGCCCCGGGATGGTACTCGAGGTAGAGACTCCAACGGTCAAGTTAGTACGAGGGAGGTATAAGGTGGACGAGGCCTGAGATGTAAACACTCAGATGAGTCCACAAAGGAGAATAAGAGTTCCCAAATGCTCGTTCTTAAATCCCAGTTCCAATCTCTTACCTTGAGGGGGAATAGCTCCTATTTATACTTGAGGTCGCCTGGAAGTCGGTGAGCTTAGACGGCTCGGATGCGGTCTGTACACGAGGAGCACAGTCATCCGAAATCGCTAGGTGACTCCGCACTATTGGTTCTGGGGAAGCCGCCGAACTCTGTTCTACGCACACCTTGATTGAATCCACTCTGAACGCTGCCACCTAACACATGCAAGCCCGCTATTGGGCAGGGCCACATGCGCCTACATCAATTATTGTCTTCTTATGTAAGAGCAGACGCTACTGTTTTGTTTTTTTAGAAGTGAGATTTTGAATGGAGTCTGTAGACCGAAGCAAACTCTTATTTACCATTAAATTAAATGGGTTTATTTTTTCTTCCTTGGGATTGCTTTTTCTTCTTTGGATCAGAGATTGAATGCATACTCTCAAACCGACTTTGTTTTTTGTCAATGGTTCCTGTGCTACTAGCAATAGATTGAGTGAAGGGCAAAAAGTCTGGTTTTTCCATGTGGTAGTAACTGCCAATGGCTGATGAATTTGATCCAATATTAGTGGTTCTCTTAGAAATTTTGAAGGGTGTTGAAGGCCAAAATAGTCTTTTTACACATAACGGTATTCTACCAGCCAGGTAGAAGTCTTTTGCCTTGTATCAAACGTTAACTTAATCAGAATATGTTGTAGAAAAAAATAAATAAATAAATAAATCAGAATATAGTTTGCGTAGATTCTGTACACCTTTAACCCCTATCCATTAGTCTGATACTGAATGGATCACAAGGCCAAAAGGATTCAACAATGAACAAGTCCAAAACAACCAAGTAGATCCACCTGATCACCATCAAACCCTTCTCTCTCTTTCTCTTTCTGTCTCTCTGTTAATCACGTTAGAGTTGGATAAGATAAAGAAGAATGGCTTTTTAGGTTGCATTTGGCATTCCTTATTTTAAGGACTTTATCCCCTTTTTACAGTTAAAAACTCAGTGATCATAGGGACATTTTAACAGTAAAAAGGAGATAAATCGTCCTTAAAATAACGAATGCCAAATGCAGCCTTATCAATCACCACTTCCATTCCCACCATCGAAGAGAACCAACCAACAGAAGCCATGGATTTCCTATCTAAAGGGCTTCTGGCCTATGACATTTCCATGTGGATCATAGTTGCAGGTGATGAACGTATCTCCACTTCTACATGTCACCCTACCACACCCAACGTACAAGCTCTGCTTCCAAATTATCTGTGTGTAGTGTAAACAGTCATGGTTCTGAACACATCTGTTGCTCTGGTAGTTGTAGTACTGCTTCTCAGCAGCCCATTCCTTGACAGCGTCTGCAGATTTCCAATCTCTTCCACTCCCCCAAAATATGTTCTCCCCATAGTTGGAGTTGGAGTGGATCAATGCACAATCATCCCTTCTCTGATTGGCCCACTGGTTCGCATAGCTCGCCAGCTTCTCGCTCCATTGAAGTGGCCGGAGTCCTAACTTGGCGCGTTCTCGGTTATGGGATGACAGATATTGCTCAACTGTGTCAGCTGGAGTTCTTAATACTTGCAGAGCTGATGATGTGATGAAGCATGGAAGCGAGAAAGAAAGGAGGAGGATTCCTAAGAGACCACCTGAAACTAATTGTTTGATCTCCATGGAGAAATAATACTCAAAGATCAAGTTTTATGATGTGGGACTAGAAGGGGTTCTGAGGTTTATATTGCAGGTTCCATGGAAGAATTATTCTGCTTGTCCCAAAAGGATCTGTCTCAATTATTAAAGTGATCTATTAAAGATGGAATCATTTCACATGATGGTTTCCAGGGTGGAGGTGCATGGATTCTTTTGAGTTTTGACTTAACTTCCAAAAGGGCTCCCAATCATTTGAACAACTAATGGATGGGATTATTGAGATTAATTTATTAGTAATTAATGCAGTTTAGAAGAGAATCTTTGCTTCATTTATGAGGAGCGATCAAATTGCCATTTTCTATGACCAATTTGTTGGTGTGGGTGAGCCATAAAGTTTATCTAGAGGATCGTCGAGGCAATGGACTAAATGGGTCCTGTGAATTGTGGTCATCCAGTTGGATTTTTGAATCAAATTTGAACTGGGTTCAGATTTGAAAATTTTGTGAAAATTGAGTTGAATCAGGTCCATGGGCTTTCACGGGAAGTAGGCCAATGCTGGAGATTCATTTCAAAACCCAGAAAAGATCACTGGGTCACCTAGACGGTTCCCGGGCCAATCGGTCCTACCGTCCGATCCAGTCCGGTTTTCAAAACCATACTTTCAGGTATCATGTATTTCCAGCTTCATAGATTTCTTCCCATAAACACATTTCTCATACAAACACAAACTTAAAACAACAATAAAACATAAACCCTATTGCAAACTGCAATATATAGAATATATCACCTTGCCCATACAACAAACTTGAAATTTTGGTTTTCAAATCTGAGAATCGAATCTGATAACTGAAATACCCTAAAACGAAAATCATTAAGAAAAAATGAACCATGATCTAAATAATTGAACTAAAAACTGAAACTAAATCTCGGTTCAGTTTTCCAATTTCAACGGAAATATGCTCACCCCATACTAAGTAATGGTACCCAAATATCTTTACAATGCCCTTTCCCCCTACCAAAAAATAAATAAATAAAAAGGGTTTTTTATTGTCCATTCCACCTCATAAACTTTTATGGGTTTGTACAGTTGGATAGAATAGTGTTAAGTGGGGAATTAATGAATCAAACTTGAAGAGGGTAGTGAATAATAGGTGGAATTGTTAGTAAAAAAAATAAAAGAAAAGCCAATAAAAAATTCTGAAGCAGACTGAACCATAAATTTCTCTAAATAAAATTAGAAAACAAATTTAAAAAAAATGAAAAATCCCTGATGACTTCACTATTTTTTTGTTTGTTTCTTGCGGCTACACAACTGGAGTAGCCCATCCCCCTCCCTTCTCATCTATGATATTTTATAGCAAGTAAATCACATCAAACGCTACCATGTTAGCAATCACCACTTCATCACAATCCCATTTAGGGTTTCGGTTATTCTGCCAGAAGCTGGGGTATGATTGCCAACTCAAATCCATTTAATGAAAGCCAATCACTGTCCCCTTATCTCCTTCAAACCTTGGATACTTCAATCATCCAATTCCAAACTTGACATTTAAGAGAAAGGGGGCCAAAACCAAGCTGTAATCTAGTTTTTTGATAGTTGGCTGCCAAGTTTTTCTATGAACTTTATCACATGGGGAGTGATTAAAAAGCACCAGCATATGCATAATGGAGCGGTCAATTCTTGAAGGAAACCAATGAGAATCCACAGGCAGAATGTGGGTATCAAGTGGCTGATGAAATTGATTAAAATTCAACATTGTAGCTTCATTTTGGATCGTTGATTCCTATTGTTTGCTCTTCAAACCTTCCTCCATTATGTTCTTCCTTTTGATATGGCTTCTATTTTTGAATTCTATTTAGACAAACAATCAACCACAAATTCCAACTCTTTTACAGTCCATTCCACCTCTTTGTCTCCCTTGCAAAATCTCCTGGTTCACTTATTAGGCATCTGATTCCAATTTCGCCCTTCTATAATTTAACTTTACAACTAACCATGGACCCAGGGTAATGGCCCAAAGCTCAGCTGCCTTGGATGCAAGTGGCAATCTTAACCCTGGCCCTTTTGACCCACCCAACCCATCCGCTTCAAAATTCACCCATACCCACCCATTTCAGCAGATGGGTTATATGGGTCAAATTACCCATTAGGGTCAGGAAAAGAGGGTCAGGGTGAGTTGGGTTGAGGGTACCCATTGGGTCAAAAAGGGTTAAGGTCACTTGAGTCAAGGAGAGGGTCGAATGAGGGTAAGGGGAGAGGGTCGAGAGAGAAGATACTGCAAGAGTTGAACAAAGATCTCTGGTTTTTTCTCAGTTCTCAGTCGAACGAACTTCCACCATCGAAGATTAATCCATATAAGTGTCATATATATCTTTGTTCTTTGTTCCATTAGTCATCAAATTGAGCATCAAAGCATCAGGGTTTCACAGTTCTCTCAACTCTCTGTTAGTTCCGCCATTGAAGCAAGTTTGTTCTCTTAGCTTCAACGCCATTATTTCTCGCCGTGTCACTATTTTCATCACTGTTGTTTCTCAGAGTTCTCAAGTTGCGTGTACATCAGAGCTTTGAATAGATAAATCTTTTGACATTACTCATCTACTTTAATATCATAGATTTTATATAGTGATTGGCATACTGAAGTAGAAAATCAAGATGGAATCATTTTCTTTAATCTCAAATAGCTGTTTTTTATTGAATGGTTTCTAGTTTCTACCTGGCATTTGATTTCAGATTGAATGTACGTAATAGTAGTGCTTAATCCGTTAATATTTGAATTGACAACCACCGGATAAATTGCATATAGTTTGGCATTGTTTACAAATGGAGAAGTGTTTTAACAATCTGGTCAATACAAGTCATACTTGGGCAAGCTTTTTGACAAATGCTGCTATGTATTTGCCCTGATGCTCTGCAAGCACCAGCTGTCCCACTTGGCTCCCTTGTGCCATCACCAGCAAAAAAGCCAGCACCATATGGAGAACCTCCTCTAATGGAGTCCATTCTGAACATTCCAGTTCCAAAGGTGTACCCAATAGGAATAAAGATCATCCCATTGTGGGCTAACTGGGTGATTGCAGTTCAACTGCATATAAATATGTCAAGTGACCATTCTATATTCACTTTGCAATTTTTCTGAAATATGTAATTATTTGAATTATCACCAAATGGCATTAAGTTTTACTAGTTATGGTTCTGTGAAACCCTCGTTTATTCTCATGGCCCCTGTTATAGTCTCATTCTCATATTTTAAATATTCATAACAAATTAAATAGCCATTGTCTCATTCTCAATGAAAAGAAATTTTCATTTTGACCCTAACCCTAGCACATACAAAAAGTAACAAAATCCATCACTAACATGTGATACCTTTAATCATCTTTGCTGAACTAACAGTACAAGAAAATAATGAGACTAACAACCTTTTTTTTGGATGGTTGTGGGGGACAAAATCAATTTCCAAATGGCTCAACAATCATTAAGGCAGAGTGAGAGGGATGAGACTCCAATATGAAAGGAGACCCCCAAATTGCCAAAAGAAATGAGCTTTCTAAACCCAAGATTTGGTTTAATGAAGAAAACATTTAAATTTGGAAAAAAAATTGTATCAAATTTAACATAAAAATGATAATTACACATAGGGAAAAGCAATTTACACTAGTTTGATCCAAAACCCAAATACTGAGAGTGCAGAAACTATGGACTTTGATGGCTACTCAAGAAGGGGGGTTGTGTTAGATAGTGTATACCTTTAGCTCCAATCAGATTGATGTACAAATACATTTATTGTAAATAAAAAAAAAGTACATTATTATTTCATGTTGATATTGGTATGTTTCTGTGAAATTACCCCTTAAACTAGACACTTATGAGATTTGTGTTAGTTTGGAAAGACTTGGGGAGTTTATCTTGCCAAGGCTGACATTGATGTATTGCCAAAGAAGTTGGAGTAGTTTGTCCAAGCTGCTAGGGTTAGACCTAGAGCACATGTAGTGTGTGCTTGGTTGAAACACTGAATCCAGACCATTTTCCAGTTATGCCCTGGACCTTGGAGATTTATGGGCAAAACTGGAAAGTTGCATATAACCCCTAGACTTGATTATGGTATTGCACTAGGTATCAAATTGGGCTATCTTTGATATGCCAATCAATGAGATCTATTGGGGGTCAAAACCTGGGTATGTTGGGGTAGTCTAAGAATTCACTTAAGTGGGTGATCATAGTGATAGAATCGGCCCCTTTGTCGGACAAAGTGAATGATATCTGGTTTAGTTCATCGACCCGAGTGATGAATAAAAAAATCAAGATATCTATTCAATACATTCAACTCTTTTCTTCTTTTAACTCTTTGCTTCTTTTCTAGAACGAAAGGAAATAGATAAAAGTTCATGTTCCAATGAATCACACGTAGAGATATTGATAACACACATGAAGTTAATGGTATTTCATAACTAATTGATTGAGCAGCAGCTCGTAGACCACCTGAAAAGGAATATTTATTATTCGATCCATATCCTRACATAAGAAGTCCAATAGGAGCAATACTTGAAATGGAAATCCATAAAAAAACACCTATACTAAGATCGGATAGAACAAGGCGATAACCAAAAGGAATTACTGAATAACTAAGTAGAATTGATATGACCGCTATAGATGGTCCAATACTGAATAAACGAGCATCTCCTCTAGATGGGAGAAGATCCTCTTTGAAAAGTAGTTTTATTTCATCCACTAGAACTTGAAGAATTCCCAAAGGGCTGGCGTATTCAAGTTCGATACGTTATTGTATCCCTGTGGATATTTCTCTTTCTAACCACACAATTACTAGTACCCCTATTGTGATTCCCGATATAAGAGTCAAAATAGGGACAAGCAACCATATGAGCCCATAGACTTCTTTTAAGGATTCTGATCTGGAAAAAGAATTGATAACTTGTGCTTTTGTCGTATCAATTATCATTTCAGCAATCAACTTCTCCCATAATGATATCTATACTACCTAGTATCGTCATAATGTCAGCCAATTYCATTCTTTTAACTAGCTGAGGAATAATTTACAAATTAATA